GCTCCTCATTGACCCTTAATGCAGTAAAAGCTTAGAAACACTGAATACTTTTCTGAACATCGGTATAGCCAACCGCGTTCCAATCCGGCGAGTCAAATTTTTGCATATGTTTAATTTTGTCTGCACGTGTCTGAATTACTTTCGGTACAGTAGGTTCTTTCACAGAAACGCTCAATTCTACAAAACTACCCGCCTCTATTACTGGCGGACGGAAAAACTGTTCGTCAGGCGTTGTTGATCTTTGAATGAACGTTGAAGCTAGATTAGACACACTATTATTATAAGTTGTTGGTATCTGTAAGTGTGAGGGCGTAGCCGCCGGTTCACGACCAGTAATAGCATAATTCGAAGCTAAAATATTATTCACATGACTCACCAACTGTTGTGACAAGAAATCAAAACTTTTATCCAGATCCCGCGACCAGGCACGCTTTCGGAGTTTCCTTGGTGTGACTATGACTCTATATTGACTTTAACAACTGATTATAATTAAAATAATGTTGATTATAACAACTAATAAAAGTATTAAACTTTAACTTTTTACGACTGCACCGGTTGAAAAACGACGCAACAATGTCAAAATACGGCTTGTCTTTCCTTGTGAGTTAGTTCCAGAAAGGAGTATAGAAAAATTTAGTGACCTGCAGCGGAAATCAGACGATGTACTCTCATAATGGACTTCGGACATCAATCTGAACACATAATATCAGACTTAAGCAGGACAACTGTCACATTTTTATTTAATTAAACAATTCTAATGATGTCATATAGAAGCTTCAGTTTTTAAAAATCCTATTGTTAATGGAGCGCTTACAGCCGAACTCAGTGCACTAGTACAGCAGCTTTTTTGCTGTGCGGCTCCACCAAAGGCCACCAAAGTTAGTATATAATGGGATTACAATTAATTCATTTCCAAATCGCCCAAATGTTAAATTAATCTGAAGACACTTTATCAACTATCAGGTAATATTTTTTCAAGAAATTTATTAATGTAGATGATCTACAAAATGGCTGCCCATTTAATTTCGGAGTTCGTAATTATGACGATGCATTCAAGGGTTTACGCTAATAGTTACATTACGTTCCTTTTTAAAATTAAATTCCTTTTTATAAAAAATGTGACCAGTATTATAACACTACTGCCTATGTGAATATTTGTACACTACTAGCTAATTATAGTGCTTGACGTATTTTCTAATCTTTTTTCTTATTTCACTTAAAAATATAGCAAGCTAAAAAGCTTCCTGATGTGAAGTAATTACGGCCCCCAATAGATATCGGTGGGTTGCAGAAGTTTGCCAATATAAAAGAAATGGGATTCATTCACCTTTAGGAAAAAGTCATTAAACACAAATTTATATTTTGTTTTGAATTTGTTTCGTTAAATACTTGTTCACATTTTTCATATTCAGTAATCGAAGTCACCTAATAATCGAAAAATGCCTATGTCAGTTGACTTCGCTCTTCCATAGCTAATTTTATAGTTTACGGACAGTCCATAAGCGACATCTGTGTTTCTTTCGTGTTATCAGTGCATATCGTCGAACATGTGAAAAGAGGCATAGTATATTCTATTTCGTAATTTGACGCATGATGGCGCTTATTTATATTTGTATTTAATGTCATTTTAGTGTCACTCACTATGGAGCAAAATTTTGAAGTTGATGATAATATAGCAGTAGTTGATAAGCTATTCACTCGTAATCTCTAATTCCATAACAGATTTGTTACGTTGATTTGTTACACTAAAAATATAAAAATAATTAGAACATTTTGATAAAATTACTATGAAAATTACTCACCTTTTATGCGGTGTGATAGTTAAAATTTAAAGATTTTTTTTGTTGGATTTCGCTTAGCTTAGCTAGAAACCTGCAGGTTCGTATCCTGGTTGCAGTGACATATTTTAAAGTATCATATTAAGTGTAGACGCTGGCAGTAAAAATATAAAAATTAAAGCAAAAGCTAGGACATAATTCTTAGCACATCTACTTTCTTAGGTAGACATTTCTCGTTTTCATTTAGTTTAATATATTTTTTTAATATCTATAATTTTATACATTAACAATGTATCGTAAATTGTTAACCATGAATATTATAAATATTACCGTCACTCCGTTGTAGTAAATGTTACCATTCTAAGGCATAGCAATATTGATAGTACTAATAATAAATATTGCTAAGACTAATATAAGCCGTGAACCTGCCTACTACTGAAGCATTAAAAACTAACCTTAACTAACTAAATTACCAAAATGGAATATTTTGACGTGATTAGTTCGTCTGAACTTTGTATTGCGTGTCGTGGTTTACCTGTGTCCAAATAAATAAAATAATGCCGTCTTGTTTCGTTCCTCCGTATAAAAATTGAGCTGGACACAAGAAGAAACAGTATAAGGTCATATTTCATATATATTAAATATAAATCATATATAAATAACGCATTGTGATATCGTGGTATCAATTCATTTTCATTTTAATCGATGAATTAAATTTTCACAGAAACGGATGCGTTCATATCACCGGTGCTGCCAGTATAAGTTTTGATTTTTCCCGCTGATTTAGTTTTTTTTATTACTAAAGGTTTTTATCGGTTGTAGTATTAAGTCAAATAAATAGTCAGGTAATCAAAAAATAGTTTTTGACTAAAAATCCGACCATATGGTCGGATTTTTAGTCAAAAACTATTTAATACTTTGTTAATCTATTAGGATTGCGTATTTGTGGGGGTGTGTGAGTGTGGGTGTATTTGCGTCTTTATTAATAGACGGAATATAAGTTGTCAAATATCCCTATACACGAAAAATATCTAGTCATAAGATCTCATCATTTATCAATTTCTTAATCTTTGTCAATAAGTTTAAATTCTAAAACTCAAAATTTCAAAAAGCTTGCTCAGAAATAAGGAAATAAAGTAGTTTTGAATCATACAGTCTTTTCTAAAAGAACTTATATTTCTTGTTAACCTCAAGAAATATACATACGTACATAATATAAAATACATAAATATTAAATCCCTTTTAACGAATGGACAATTTTCATTGTGTTACTTTCAATGTTCGCAATATTTATCTAAAAATGGGAAATAATGTCTGAGCTAGCAATGTTTTATGGGACGCTAGTTTTGCGATTGAACACAATGCGATTGAACGGCATGCAACTACAATTGAAAGTGGTGGCTTCTGGTTTAAATGAAATGTTCAATGAACACAAGTAACACAAATGCGCTTAATATGTACTTGCCTATCACTACGTAGTATAAAACAAAGTCATCCCGCAAGATCTTTAAAACTACGCAACGGATCTTGATGCAGGTTTTTAACTAGATTTAGAGTGATTCAAGAGGACGGTTCTTATGCATAATACATTGTACCCGTGCGAAGACGGGGCGGGTCGCTAGTATGAAATAATCGCTCTTTTGCCATAAAATGAAAAGCTCATATTATCCATGCTACATTTGAACACGTTTGGTAATTATTATGACTTTGAACACCTTCATTCAGGTCACCTCGTTCAATTTACACTTTATGAACCTTGCACAGAAAAGCGAAGTCATCTATTTAAGCAAAACTTAACACCAGTACAACATAACAATGTTTTGAGGCTACTATGTCGTAATCAAATTTTAATTCTGTCTAACATAATAATTTCTTGTATTTACGCGATTACACATTACAAAATGAAACTATGTTTACGGATTTATCGCGTTTATTTTATGTTTTAATAATTGTCGTCGTTGCCGCGAATTCCCGTGACCATGAACGCTGTAAAGGGTTCGAGACGACGTGAATTAAAACAACAAATAAACGCAATAAATTCTATAACAAAGTTTCATCTGTCTAACATTTACAGCTTAACGCTCCACGTAATATTTTTTATTATTTCTCGTTTCATCGTTTTACTTTTACTGATGTTGTTGAGTAAGTTGACTAATGTCATTGAACGCAAAAATCGTGCCAGAACCAAATAACTTAATAACGCCCTCAGCGTTGGTTGGGTCCGTGTATGTAAAACTAACATCTTATAATTACAATTTTACTCATGAAAAATTTAAGAATTTTAAGAATGAAATAATTAATTTTATTTAAATTTACCATTCATTCTAGGTTTTGAATGCCAGAGTACGAAGTCCTCCCGTGCTTGGTTTTACTACGAACAGAACTTGATGCCTCGCACTTTATGTCCAGTATAAGACGAGTTTGAAGTTAAATAGGTTCGATACAATATAAACCGTCCCTGTTTTTTTTACCGACTTCAAAAGGGAAGAGGTTTCTCAATTCGACCGTATATATTTTTATTTTTTTTATGTGTGTTCGGGAATAACTTCGTTATTTATGAACCGATTTTGATGATTCTTTTTTTGTTGGAAAGGAGATATCCCAAGTTTGGTACCATGATAAGGAAACCCAGATCTGATCATGGCATCCCAGAGAAATCAAGGGCAATCCTCAAATGTAGGAGTATCAATCAATATAGGAGTTGACAATGTTGTTTTACTTTCCGCGTTATTGAAGTCGGTTTTTTTGTTCAAAATTATTATCTTTTAAATGATTAAATCAAAGTTGCAGTTTAAGTGATAAAGTCTTGTACAGGTTAACAATTTCTTTTAATACAAAATGATTATAACATAAAACACGTAGAAAATACTTTTCTTAATTAAATTTACTTCTTAAAGGATAAATAATAGGTATATAATAAAAAAAGGTTTTATTAATGATTTTACAACTAATCTTATACCAAATATTTATATTACAAATTGCATATTTAATATTAAGTATGTATTTAAAATATTCTATTACAAGTCATTATTGGCTTGAATTTTACTAATTTTGTCGCTTAGATTAGATTAGGAGAGTATTGAGAACACATACATTTTTTAGTATAATGAAACTAAAAACGTATGTATTTTACATCAGTTTGTTTTGATACCTATATCAAAGAAGCAATTTAATGAATTTCTAAAAACTACACAAGCCTATCTTCAACATTATATTGTTTCAAAAAGTGTTAATTAATTTTCTTATCATTGCGACGGACTCGTTGCATCCTATGCTCTCTATATACGTCGTGGCTTTGTTTGCGTGTTCTTTATACAGCATTTTGGTTTTTTCCACTGCGTCCGTTTTCAATATATTGAATTTCAAATCTTCATAATCTACGTCCTTAACATCGTTCTTCGCTTGGTGTATGATTTTATACAGGTCGGGGTTGTCCTCTAAAGCGAAAAGCACAGGGGCGCTTGCTAGGCAAAACTGATCCTTGCTCTCAGAAGTCAGACTTTGCAGTTCGGTGGCCGCCTGCCAAGCCAAGCCAACGTGGCATCCGAAGTGGTAGGCGTAGTTTTGCATCTCGCGCTCCTGTTTGGCCAGGAGCATCGCTGACTGACAAGCCCTTCCAAGCAAGCTGACTCCATTGAAAACGGTTCTAGCCGTCCATTCTTTTCGCGATTTACCCAGTACGTCGTCGGTCGCTATAGATGTGGCATCAAAAGTAACAATGTCGTCTGTTTCGGATTTGGGCTTCCCAGGCAATGGCATGTTTTGTTCGTCCCTGTCGCCGAAAAATTCTCCCTCGGACAAATTCTTTAGACCCAACGACACGGTGTATAGCACATCAGCATTCTTTAAACCCGCCAACATAGTATTTGCTGTGACTAATAGGTAATCTCCGAGAAGGATAGCTATTTTATTACCAAAAATAGCAGATTCCGTACTCTTCGATCGTTTTGCAAAAGGTACGTTTACGATTCCCCTATGAATTAAGTGGCCGGTTCTCATTAACTCTATGAGCTCAGCTAGAGCTCTTTGCTGTTCGTCTATAACCTTTGTCTGCGACGCCGGAACACACGTTTTTACAGACTTCGATAAGAGGAGAATAATAAGACCCCAGGGTTGCAAGTTGTTTGAATCGCCGTATAAAACGTTCTTCGCAGTCTGCATAACCAAGTGATTGCTACCAACCTGAAAATATATTTTAATGTCAAGAGTATCCTTAAATATTTACGAAGAACAAGGTGGAACTGTTTATAGATGCAGTCAGAGAGAAGTGGTTTTTATTTCGTTGCAGAGCCAATGGGATTGAATCTACTTCACTTAGTTATTTTATAATGATTTGAGTACAATCGCGTACTTTTATTGTTTTTTAGTTTCAGACTCTTGTTTTCAGTGGTTTTCAAAGGATTTTAAAGAAATAACCTATTTTATTACCTATACCTTAAAATAAATATAAATTATTATTTAAAATCTTTTTTTCTTATTAATCTGCCCCTTATTGATTAGAAAAAAAAGATTTAAAATTGAAAACATAGAAGGTTAATTCGTTACATACTTACTTCCTTATATATCCTTACTAATATTATAAATGCGAAAGTTTATATGGATGGATGGATGTTTGTTACTCTTTCACGCAAAAACTACTGATTACATTTTAATGAAATTTTGCAGTAATATGGCTTATACATCAGAATAAAACATAGGCTATAATTTATAAAGATATTATGTAAATTGTCCAATATGTAGGTAAGATAAGTGTCAACTAGGTAGGAAAAAATTCAGCCATCTGCGAGTTATTCTAGTGTAAAATAAAAAAAAACTCATTAATACTCTTTGGCCGCGGGGGTGAAACCGCGGTTAACAGCTAGTATGCTATAATGCAAATACAAAAACCAGAACATAGACAAATTCTTTATAAACGTTAACAAATACCCTTTTACTAAAATAAAAATCTCGCAATTGATTGCATTTTCAACATCACCATAAAACATCTTAATAAGGTGAAAGTTCGAAATAGCTTAGTGGGATTTTCATTCTTAATGGAACGGCAACGACAACAAGGCAAACACTTTCTATTTACCGTTTGTTTAAAATTTTGAAACATAAATTAATATTTTTAAATAAAAATCGTTATTTTAAAAGCATTTGGATCGGTTAAAGAATGAAAACTTTTAGCGCGAAGGAACTCCCGCTAAAAATTTAAAATTTCCAACACACTCACCAGTTTCCTCAAATAAAGCGCTAAATTTGCGAACTCGTCACTCAGTAGGCATCGTAAGTTCATAAAAGATGTGGGATAGCCGACAACTTTCTCAGCTTCGCGTATTATATTGCTCCAGTTCGTGAAAGGGGGTCTCAGTAGAACTAATATCTCGTCCTTAGTGAGGCTGGTCATCGTCGATTCGTATCTTTTCTGAAAAAGCAACGAAGACGAACGTTTCAAAAGGCGGGAAATCGCGTAAGAGACGGCCATGGTACTGTATTTTTTTTCTTCTATGGACTATGGTTCGGGTACGGCCGGCCGAGAGCGCCGTTAGCCGATAAATGTACCGGTGGTGTTTAGTGTTGTCAGGTATTGATTTGTTTTGTTTTGTATTTTAGGTTGTTATGTACGAAACGCTAATTTGACAATTTTATTTATTTTAAAATAGTTATTATTTTAACATTTTCTGTTTTGGTCCATAGTGTATGATGGTATATCAATGAGCTTTGTTTCGATTTTCATTCGGGTGTTTAGAATTTGTTAAAATAAAGAGTCCTTTAATTTGATTTATTTCTTCTAAGTGACCTTCAAAAGTTCACTATTCAAGATTAAAGCACAGCGTTTACTAAAGTCAAATGTTAAAAATATATAGAACTGCGAATAATCATATTTTTATAATTAAAAAATCGAAAACACAATGCATATTCATTTAGGTCTCGATACATACATGACATAATTTTGATAAGACGAAATTGTCACATATAAATTATTTTACTTTCTGGCTTTGCAATAAAGTCTCCTTAAAACTGGAAAACATCTTAATACACTGGTAACACTTGTATTCTTGACCGTGAAAAGTAGAACGCAGCATGAGTCTGATCACTCTTATGAAGCGAACATAAACATGCAATCTAAAGTTATCAGTCGTTCGTTAACTTGTTACACAAAATTAACCTTTAATGAACTGTCATACGATGCATAAAATAAGTATGCGGTTGCAGGGCATGTTTGTTGTACGATGAAAGTGCCCAGTTTGTGAAGACCCCTATCTAGGAAAACGTATACTCCTAAGTCTTCATCACCGCCATTATTTAAGGGAAGGCAATGGGTCTATTCAATCTGGGAGTCTCACGGGATTCTTTTTTGGAAAGTTCAATTTATTTGAGAGTTTACAACTGGTGGTCAGTTACCCGACATTTCTTTTCAAGGAACCTACGATGACCTTGAATAATTTTACACCTGTTTTTATAAACCAAATTATTATATAAAAATCTCAAAAGTTCTATCATTTTGTTACAGTCTAATTGATAAAGAAGTGTATAGTGTTTTAATCAAAAGTTTAAAGACTGCGTTCTGTCATATTTTATTGGTAAATTCCGTTAACTGTTACATAACAGCTTGGAGATTAAATTGGTAAGTAGCAGAAGTTACTTTACAACATAGTTTCATTAATTAAATCGTGCTAGATTCATAATAATCATAGTATGAGTAATTAATATATATTATAATTATACTCTTATGCTTACTGTTGTAATATCAACATTATTCTTACTTTTATCTCCAATACTTGATTAGTGCAGAGGCTAGAATTGTATAGTCTTGAAAAGTAAGACACATTTGTGGCGGGATCAAAACAATCGCCCTATCCCTATCGGAAACCTGATCTAGCTCTTTACGATAGGTTTCCTTTTTTTATCAATAGATATTAAATTAATTAATGTCATGGGCTTACCACATAACTTGGAAAAATTAAGGGTAAATGTAAATAACTTTAACTCCGGCGTAATTCAAATCAAATAAATTTTTAACGATAGAGAAAAATCACTTATGAATTTATCAACAAGCAGAATTCGGCGGTCGCTTATAGTTTTCGTAAAACTAAATAATGAAATAGTGTGATTTTTACTATAGAAATCCGCCATTTTTTGTTGTCAATATGTCAATTCAGCTCGTATTTCTTGGTGGTCATAAAAAAAAAAAAGCTAACCTCGAACCTTCTAACCTAATCGCATCGTATGATGTCGCCCGCTTCCTATATTTATCATGTTGGCAGAACCGTGTATTGAGTTTTTGAAGTCAAACAAATAAAATGGTGGATTTCTTAGTACAAAAAACAAGTTTTAAATATTTTTTTAGCGACCGCCGAATTCTGCTTGTTGATTAATTCATTAGAGATTTATCTCTATCGTTTAAAATTATTTTAATTGAATTACGCCAGAGTTAAAGTTATTTACATTTGCCAAATTAAGTGACTTTACTAATGATACTAAAAAATAGCGTGAGGAAACGTACATACTTTCGAAATAATAACAAAAAATAAAGAAAGGTATGATGCGTGCCTATTTGCAAGGGCAGGACTATACCCTAATACCCTCTGTACAGAAGAGGCATTTGCTCAGCAGTGTGACATATTTGGGCTTTTACTTTATACTAAAAATATGTTAGCTAATCCATATATACAGAACTATATACAAAACTAGCGTTAGAATAAATTTAGGAACGTAACCAAAAAAATTTAGGTAAACGAGTAAGAAACGAAACAATTTATTAACAGAACTGTGTCTTGAAACATTTGTGCAAAATAAAAATAAAAAATAAAACGTAACAAATGAAACGTAACAAAAGAATAACAGAGATTTAGTCTTAATAAGTTTTCTTGATAAGAGATTTTCCACCGTGTAAAATTGAGTTCAACCACCATTGAAGGAAATAATACGCTATTTTTAAAGACAACAGAATCCCACATATGATTGGGAAATAAATGGTGCCAAATGCCCTTGTGAGAATCGGATAAATCCATATTCCGCGTTCTAAATATGTGTAAGCTAACCTGAAACAATAAAGATGAAATTAAAATTAGGATAATTGTTTAGTAATCTCCACAAAATATGAGATTTAAATGGTAGTTTAAAAAAATTATTCGGAGAAGTTATTCAGAAGACGCAGCCTAGATGGCGCTGCGCCGCAAAATGTACATTAAATGCTTATATAACAGGTATTACACTATTTTTCTTCTGCTTTTTTATTTCGAATGGATTCCAATAGATTTTTTTTACTCGGTGAAAAATATTTCACATCGACCTTTGGAAACAGCAAAAGCTGGCGGCTCGTGACAAAATGAATTGAGAATTATTTAGGTATAAAATCGGCAGCAGCAAGGGGACTTACAAGTTGTGTTTACTCCCGCCTTGTTTATTATTGAGATTGAACAAAAATCGGGTAAATACTTTATTAAGAATCCTCCCTATTTTCATTTTATTGTTACGATGAAATTACTCATACCTTCTAATAAAATAAAAATCGGTTCTAACCGTTGATCAATATTTAAGAGGTTCGTGTAACCACTGTTTGGAGTGTTCTTTTTTGTGTATTTTATCAATTACTTAAACATGTTTCTTTATATTGCGAATTAAAGTTTGTGAATTAAAACATAAATTATGCAAATATAAAATCTGTATATTCGATGTAACTGTGTATCCGATTAATACTCACACGAGGAAATATAAAGAGATGTGAAACAGTAAGTGCAACAAATTCCGTATATGGGACTTTGGTTCGACTCTTGGCCTGAAGACAACTTCCCAAATAACCACCGGAACTATGGCCGTATGTATCACATGGTTTGATACACGGCTAAGAACTTTGTCTGCGGCTTTCGGGAAAATCAAATCTCTATTGTACAGGAACAGCGGCCAAAACACTGTGAAAACGAGCTGGAAAATAATTATCACAAAGTGAAGGCATTATAATTATAGAATATTATTTAAATACCATTAGTTAAGAAAAACATCAGGAGTAACTTGCTATCTTTTCACCATAAAAAAACTTGTGCTCTGGAATATGTTTTATCTACATATTTTCGTTTATTTCATTTGTTATGAACAAATAATCACTGCGTGAAATTTGTGAATCAATTTGTGGCCTACCTGGCAGTCACATTTATAAAGGAAGTTTTTTTTAAAAAAATAAGCAATCTCTATAATTACTAGTGATGTACCGAATACTTCGCGATTCGCATTCGCGAATATTCTCATATTTTTTGACATTCGCATCGTAAGTAATGATATGAATTTTAGCGAATGTATTCGACAAACAAAATGAAATTATAAACAATTATGTACATGAATATGGAATTATAATACTGATAATGTTTATATTTTTTAATTCCATAAAATTTGATTATGGAACAGTTTTATTCTAATTAATCTCTTGAAGATATTAACATAAATAAAATCCGAAAAATTAATTCGGTTGAGCTTTCATGAGATCGTATATTAAATTCATTGGTATAGAACTGGAACTTGGAATTGAAAATTGGACTTCAAAGATAGATCATGGAAATCCTCAAAATCAAAATACAAAATGTACAGGGAGTGTGATATTTAATGTCGATTTTGTTCTTGTTAATAAAAGTAATACTTGTTAATTTGTCATATTCATTTAACGTTTAGCTTCTAGGTGATTTCTCACAGTGCTGGTGGTCTTTCCTTTCTGTTAGAATGTTTTATCAAACAACTTGAATTTCACATGTTCAACGTCATAACATAATGTGTACGTATCCTTATATCAGTTTTTCACTTTTGATTATCAGTTCATTATCATCATCATCATTATTTCAGCCTGTTTGAGTCTCCTGCTGAACATAAGCCGCCACCATAGACTGCCACGAAGTACGATCCTCAGCCACCTGCATCCATCGACTTCCCGCACATAAAGTATAAAATAATAATCATCAGTTAAATTTAATAAGAGCTTTATGAGACTTAGTCCTGACCGATACAGGTTCGGCTATATTCAATTTAAACATATTCGACACTAAAATATGTCAAACCTGTCTAAGATTTTGCACGTTTCAATTCTTCGCTTCGATCAATTGCATTCGCATTGCCATTCCCGAATATTCGTTACGTCTTGCGTAATCTAACATTCGTTACATCTTACGTACCCAAGTCGATGGCCATAATACACCAGCAAACATTGTGTCTCTGCATCCCTTCAAATGTTTTGGTAATTTATAATTTCGATCATCGGAATTTCGCAACGTCAGTGAGTCACAGGCTAGTCCAATGACCGCATAGATTATTTGTATGGTCTGTAAGTAAATACTTTGAGATTATTACAATATCTTGAGATTATTACAGTACTTTTTCCATGCCTTGAAAGAGTGAGTAGGAATACCAAGTTGCTCCAGTATATTGTATTCACCAACTTTACATTTCAACATTAATACTATTTTCAAAGTCAAAGTCAAAGTATATTTATTCAACATAGGCCTTACTTAAGCTCTTATTAAACGTCAACAAAAAATCTACCACCGGTTTACTAAACTAGACCTGCACAGAGAAGAACCGGCAAGAAACTCTGCGGTCTTGTTCTTTTTGTTATATTTTCTTTTGATGCAAATATACACGTTATTTTATTTAATACGTTACATTTAATACGTCCATCACCATATCATCCTACACAGATTCAAATCCCAGTAAACTACATTGTCTCTTACACTTCTGAATTTATAGACATAAATTTATATCTTTTGCATTCCATTCTTATCGTTTATAAGATTTTGATTTTTCTTAAGTATATTTCCAGATTTTGATCGGAATTACAATCCTTATATGTAAACACTACTACTTTTTTTATGTGAGAAGGTGGCAACCAAGCTGGCGGTTCACCTGATGTTAAATAATAACTGTCGCCCATTGACATTTCCACCACCCGTAGGGTTTCAAATGCGCTGCCATCTTTTAAAAAAGTAGGCCCCGGCAACCGAACTCACCAGATGAAACGCAGGAGTTATAAAACTTCCATTTCACGTCGGCCTTCTGTGAGGTCGTGGTACTTACCTGGATGGACCTGCCCATTCGGCAACAGAAACTGCTGTGTGGACCTTCCACAATGATGTTCTGCGAGATATCACTTAATATAAGGTGAACCTTCTGCTCGCTTGCCACCGTATATCATAGGAAAGGCCAGATTGGTGGACGGTGCACGCGGTTATAAGAACACAATGCATCAGAATCGTTAATAAACCGTAATTCAGTCGTATATAGTGAATATAGCGTGGATACAATATAAACATATGGGTCAAGATAGTTAAATCATGGTATTATGAAAATATTATAATTTTGAGTGTTGCAATAAAATATTGGGCGTAGCGAAAGTTTAAAGTTATGGTATGCGACCTATATATATTGTGCTGTGTCTTTGTGTTAAATTAAACTGAAAGTAACCCAGATTCGGTTAAAGTTCAGTGAAAGTTACTTTTTATGAGAAATGTTAATAAGCGAGCAAGCGGTGCACTTGGCGTTTGGTGATTACCGCTGCACTTGAACATCTATTATATGTACTATATATATTACACCTGGGATATGTCAATCTTTAAAAATTTATTCCAGGGTACCTCAATCACCAGACTACGCGTTGGTCTTTTGTGAGACTGCGTTACTACCCGCGGACGAGCCAGCCCATTCAAACAACAGCAAAACCTGTTATGTTTTGCAATCTAGGCTTAGAAGTCATTCTTATTTACTATATAAATATTTCAACAAGACACAGCGTCGACACCGAATTTTATGCTTAGCAGAAACAAGCTCGGTTAGTAAAATTATTAGAATCGGGATTTTGCAATGTCGCAGTCGGAGTCCCAACCTTTATTCACTCAAGAGGTACCCATACAAAAAATCCTTACTCACAAATGTCCAACATGTGAAATATCGACTCTGGAGGCTACTAAATATTTTCAAATACGGGTCCTCAAAATGCTCCTCCTTCAATCCCTTCATCATAAAGTAAATGTTCGTCACGTGCATTACTATGGTGGTCAGGTAGCCAAATATCCGAAAGTAGACGTAGTCCGTCATGTTTCTGGAAATATAAAAAATTACACCGATAATAACTAATAGAAACAAGGTATCATTAACAATAAATATCAATAATTCCTTTGTCTTAATCGTTAGAAAAAACAGTAAAAAAAGTAACCGACATAGCAAAGAAGAAAGGTAAGCTGAAGTAGCATCGGCCAGCCATATAGCTTTTAGCATCGATAGCTGATACTTATGAAACGTTCTCTAGTGACAATTGCAGTGTAGGACGACCCCAAATATATGGAGCGAGAGACGACCAGTGCAAATGTACGGGAAGTCCATGGACGCGGGTAATTCAGAATCGTGATTTGTGGCAGTTTGTAACAGCCTACGTTCAGCAGTAAACTAAATCAGGTTTAAATGATGACGATGGTGAAATTTTGGAAAAAGGATTCGAACATGCAACCCTAAACTTAAGATTATAAATCCAAGCAATCAGACATGACAGTTAAATAAATAAAGAAACGACTGGATTTTATAAATGATACCAAATGTTATCCTTAGAAGTATACCATAAAAATGTAAGTAAAGCAAAAATCCAGCCACAAGCATAAGGTTAAAACCAGTTCTACTGACTTACAAAGTATTAATTAATTTCCCTTATAAGCATAGTGAAACTAGGGGTTTTAATAAAATATAAAGTAATACAGTGTTTTTATATATTTCTGTGTATATTTCGTTGTATTCCACTCAGTTCATTTTGTATCAAATTTGAATTTATTCGATTTTTTACTCGGTTGTTACCATGACAGATATCATAAATTATAATGATTAAGGACTCGCACACATCCAAAGCGATTAAAAGTACGAAACTATGTTTATGTCGTACTAGTAACATAAGCGAAGCTGCGGTGACAATAAATAAAATATGGAAAACACCAAGTAATGATTCTGGTTCTAACTGTTTACTGCAAAATATCAATTTAAATCTATTCAGGTAAATAAATGCATAAAAAATAAGTATTCACGTCAATTAAAAAATATGTCATATTTACCTATTTTCTTATTCAGAAATACAAATGATTTTTTAAATATCGTAAGCGCGATTCGTAAGCGAAACGTCCGACCCGACCACTTCAATCCACTAACGGTACAACACTAGTATATGTATGCGGTAGTGGTAACATCAATATTTTAACGTGCCATGAATTATTCAAGTTTCAACTCTATTCCAAAGTGTTAAGGGACATTGTTTAAACCTTGAAAGATATTTAAAAGAGTGTAAAACAATTGAGTAAGTGGATAAAAGAGGTTAAAAGGAATTGTAATTTTTAAAAGAACATTTTTTAGAACATTGTCAACCTACTTAAAAGTTTAATACCTCAAAATAGTCTAATAATATTCAGCCATACATGGCGTTACGACTTTTTTAATTAGTTATATAGTAGAATTATAGATAGTTAAATAACTTTTAATAGCTCTTATAATTATGTAGGTATATCACCCTAACCTAGTCAAAACTACGTAACAATCGTTCGACCATTGACCAATTATGAACTTATTAATTTGCATTTCATTTGTATCATAAATAAACCATAAAACGACATTAAATTAGGTCTAGATTATTAGTCCAAGCAAGCTAAATTTAATGTAAGCTAGATTTTTTTGTACCTTTCTCTCTTTGGAGACTACTAGTTACATACAGAAACTCGGTTGTTCTTCATTATATTTTCAATGAATGGATAAATGATATTTATTAAACAGGTTCACCAATGCGATCAGACGTACCAATTAGATTAGTCTTAATTATTCATGACATTCGTAATTAACGTGACGTTATTCGACTTCTAAAACTATTCATGGCGAACGAATTCAGAACACGTGTAAAAACTAACATAAGGTCTAAAGAAATAAAACAGTATTGGTTAAATGTTTTAGGTTAGAGAATGATTGTTATAACAGACATTCATACTCTTGTACATCTTTTAAGGCCCTCTGACGTAGCTTCATGTTCCGTTTAGTGTTTAGCCATCTTCCCAATCTTCGTAGGTTCGTGTTCCATTTAGTTTTCAGCTAGCTTCCCAATCTTTATATTTTGTCGATATGCAAAAAATCTAATATAAATCGTAAATGTGATTGCTGCTGCGATAGAGAACAAAGCCGATCTCGTTGATAATCTTATTTTTACAATAAAGTTAATTTAAAACAGATAATCAAGAAAATTATTGACTTTGTATGATAAAAGTGTAAAAATATTTCAGGATATATTACACAACTTGACCTACAGAACTGACTAGTGGTCCTTCACTGCTGGCAGTAGAAGGAAAGTTAAAGTGCTCATCTATCTGAATGGAGTCATGACCTATAAAAATGTCCGGTTGGTCGACATGTAACAGATACAGGTGGCTCAGGTTTGGGCTTCAGAGCAGTCTGTGGTGGACGCTATATTCAACAGCGGACTATAGCAGGCTGAAATGATGATGCTAATCCAGTAATGATGCAAAGATGCAAAACTGCGTTAAGCTTGTACTATAGGTACTAATATAACTGATATAACATTCTTTTGTAAACGGATACTCTAGAAAAGATCTCACGATATACTCTAACAATAGAAAAACTCTTTATTATCATAATATTTTCTATTACATGGAACTGAACCTATATACCTCTGGTCCCCAAGGCAGATTAACTGTAATCTAAGCAAATCAATATGAAATATCTTGTCAGTAAAAAGATTCATGACATTACATGAACGTGACATTCATTCAGATGCACTGCTATTAAGTCGCTAGCCACAGACACTGGATTACATGCAATTTTGTTTATTGCTCTTTACTCTACTCTTTGTCTTTAATGCTAAATGTATTCACATACAAATCTTTATGTATTAACTGCTCAACCTATTCAACAGATCAAACACATGATGTTTCAATGTTTCAGTGACCATAATTATGGCATTATAGTACGTAAAAAAGTAAAACTAATTCATTTATCGGTGATTATTTTAATACTCCCATAAAATAATGTTTATACTTGATTACTTACAATTGAGACTGGCTCAGTTTTTCGGATTTACTCCCTGGAACGCTAATTGTAATTGAAGCAGTCTTTTTCGCTTATGTATATTTTTTCAACTTTAATGGTTTATATTTCTCCACAAATGTTTATTCCAAAAATTATATATTCATTCAAATTATTATATTATAAAATCCGTCAATTCATTTTATGAAAACATATACAAATTTAAAAAGAAAAAGAATCAAAATCGCAAAATTGAGCACTGAAACCCGCCCAGTCAACACGAATCACATTCATTTACTCGTCTCTTGCCATAATAGTCCAAGATCCGAGGGCCGCCAGACGTCACGTATTTTCTTTAATGGAAATTGGCGCATGGTATGCGATCGTAGTACATACTATACGTACGGGCTATCTGGCTGGCGGTATCGCGTTCATCAGTGCGTATCGTACGTCGTACTCTTCCAACATGCCCAATCACTTTTCACTTTTGGATCTGTCTGGCTGAAGGTTTTACAATTATTTAATTATTATTTGGCTAATTAATTTTGGGTTTTTAGATACGTAAATAACAGCACATTAAAATTTCAGCCATACTAAAATATTTAGAAAAAATATAATCTTTAATTCATAATAAGCGTTTGGCACAGTTTAAACAACAATAAAAATATCTGGCAATAACAGATTGGTGTTAAATAATTTAAAAAAAAAAACGAAATCTTAAAATTATTTGAAAAATTGATACTTTTCCTGTACAGGTACGATGCGCACTGATGAATGCAGCCTCTGCTGACAGCCAGATAGCCCCTTAAGACGTCCGGGAGAGTGAGAGAGATAGCATATCTAAAAACTGGCCTACCTGAAATTCTTGCTTCGCCAACGTTGCTAGCTCTCGCACCAGAGGCATGCCAAAAGGATCATAGCTTAATTATAATTTAACTCGCTGAGTATGGATTCGAATTCGGATTTACAAAAAACAAATAGATTGGAAGAATTAAACACGTTTATTCAGTTTATACAGGAATAAAAAGTTCAAAAAATCTTTTTAGTAAAACTTTTAGGATTGTAATTGAAGGAGAATCTGAAGTGATATTTAACATATCAATATGGCTTTAGAACTAACTATCCAGAAGTATTCTGCCTGCTTCATAATTGTGCAAATATGAAATAGTTATTTTACTAACCTTTATTTAATTTATCCACATTATTTATCACATTTAAACACATTGAAATATACTGTATGTTTTATATAATTATACCTTATTCTATATTTAATACGCTGCTTAAGCCATTCGCGTTTCACTTTTGTCGGGTCCTTCGTATTCAAATCATTAACAATCACATATATGGTGACTCATGCGCAAATTTTTATCAAACTAAGTATTATGAAAAATTTGCAAAGTGCATGATTGCATTAATTTGCGCATAATTTAATTAACTAATACAACGCCGATGGACCTGGGTGAGAGCTTTAATAAACTTTAAATAAAAACCTTAATACCAACTGTAAACTATTCAGAATTAAGTGAATTTTAGAGCTAAAATCATAATGAAAATAGTAATTTTTGATTTCATTTAATTCAAAATTCTAAGTAATGTTAACATTATTTTTGAGTTTGAATGTAAACGAGTGATAATTGACTTTGCTGTATGACGTCTTTTATACTGAGCAGTTGTTATTTTCTGATAAAAATGTTTTAATTACATTTCCCGGCTATAACGACTTCGTTAAATATTATTTAGTAGCATAAGTCTTAAAGTTATATTTGTAATATATTAACACTAAACTATTAAGAATAATGGGCTCGCACAGCTTTCCCAAGCGATAGAAAAAACTGATATGTCTGGTTGGGTTATTTGGGCAATCTACCACCTCCAATAGCCCTACCAATCTCGCGGTCATATGGGCCGGATCGTGAGAGCATGCATGCGGTCTGGCTGCGAGGTTCCGTATTCACTTTCTTGATATTCTATATTGTGTTTAATCTCGTCCTTGCACCTATATGTCTACACTCCACAAGCACCGTCAAGCGCTGGAA